TGGGGAAAAAATGCCTTCACAAAAGGCAAAGCAGGGCTGGAGAGATGGCTCAGTAGTTAAGAGCACTGGCTGCTCTTGTAGAGAATCCAGGTTTGATTCTCAGCACCCAGATGGTAGCTAACAACCATTTGTAACTCCAGTTCCAGGGAATCCAACGCCCTCTTCTGACCTCCATGGGCACTACACGACACACACAGGTGCACTTACATGCAGGCGATACACTCATACACATAAAATAAAAATAATTAAATAAAAAAAAAAAAGCCCAAAAGCCAGTTGTGGTGGCACACACCTTTAATCCCAGCACTCAGGAGGCAGAGGCAGGCAGATCTCTATGAGTTTGAGGCCAGCCTGGTCTCCATTAGCGAATCCAGGCCAGCTGTGGCTACAGGGAGACCTCGTCTCAAAAAGACCAAAAAACCCCAGCAATTCTACTAGACACTTTTGGCACATGTCCACACATGCACAAATACTAACCTGCTTAGTAACTCAGACACAATGGGCCACCAGTATCTTTCCTTTACTCTAATAAATGAAATATATCCCACCATAAACTAGAATGATGCTTCAGACCCCCAACTGCCAAACATATATACTATACCTGCGTGAATCGGTCACAGTCAACAAGTCGGAAAGTTTTGCCATAAATAGTGAGGTTTATTCCCCGATTTAGGTCTTTCCAGTGGTAATGGTCTCCCACATCATTCTTGGTTAGCTGCTGGCGTTTGATTAACTTGCCTTGAGGGATCCCAGAATTTTCCACAACAGGCTCTATGACACACATACTGTCATCCTCTAGATAGTAATAAATATTCACTTGACGGATTCTATAATGCTCCTCTGTTGATGTAGGAACATCTTCTTGGAAATAAGCATTAAATTTCAGCACCTACAACACACAAGAGGAGAAAAGGGACAATATTGATTTATCAGGGTCATCTGAAAAACACCAACTACTGCCCTCAAGAGAGAGAGAAATACGCAGGGAGATTTTAATACTCATGATGCCTTTAAGAGCTGCCAAACTATATCCACAGCACAAAACTACCCTACCACCTATTTTTTATTATTATTTTTATTTTATGTGTATGAGTGTTATGCCTGCATGTAAGTGAGTGCACCTGTGTTGTGCAATGCCCATGGAGGACAGAAGAGGCTGTTGGATCCCCTGGAACTGGAGTTATGGACAGTTGTTGGCTGCCATGTGGGTGCTGGTATTCGACCCCAGGTCTTCTGCAAGAACAGTCAGTGTTCTTAACCGCTGAGCCTTCTCTCCAGCCTGACTACCACCTATATTTATAGGACTTGTTAGCTAGAATTTTTTCACATATGTAAATGCTTGAAAAAGATACGAAAAGAAATAACATTTCATAAGCCATGGACATTATATTGAGATATGAACACACGAAAATTACATGAAATTCAAATTTTATAGACATAAAGTAATTATGTAATTAGCTAACATTTATTAGTGAGTGTTCCTCCATTATAAGAATGGAGCTGAGTAGATGTAATAGAGACATTTGGGCTTATGTACTCAACTATGTCCCTCCCATTCATGTATTGAAGCCCTAACCACCAAAGTGATTGCAATGAGTGATGGTTTTCAGAAGGCTATTAGGGTTAAATGAAATCTTAAGGATGGGGCCCTAATTCAATAGGACTGGTGGCCCTATAAGAGAGGAAGATGAGAAAATAGGACGTTCCTCTCCTCACTTCCCACATGGACACACTGAGGACAGACTATGTGAGGACAAGATAGCCCTGACCAGAAATCATATGACTGGAACTTGATCTTGCCTTCAGAATGGTGAGAAAAATAAATCTATATTGTTTAATTCTCCCAGTCTGCAGTATTTTGTTATGGCAGCTTTGGCAGATTAAAATAATTGCAATGCCCCAAACATTTACTATCTAGCTAGAAAGTTTAATGACATTTTTTTCTAAATGCAGTGTGCATAGACTATTTACTGCATGTGCTCCTTGGTGATGTGGCTTAAAGACTTTAACTCTACTAGCTTTATCGCCATGCCAGAGTCCCTCATTAGCGTCTGAAAAGAGTTGAAATGTAGAGAAGCCTCTGACTTTTGGTTCTGAATGAAAACAACTTAAGACTAATTCTTTAGAAGTCTAGTCCTTTGTACATATATGCTTTAGATGAATGACCTTTGAATCAGCAACCCATCATAGACTCTTCGGATAACATCTAAAAGATACCTGCACTGTGTTAAAAAATGTGCATTCTATAGATCAAATCATCAGTCTTCTGGGAAGTATTCAGCATCAAAAGTCAAAATGTCTTATCAATTGCACATTTAAAAAACTATTAAACAGTACTATATATACAGTGAATGTAGTTTCTACATTTCTGGCACTGTATTTCTTTGTCTAGTATTTCTCCTCAGAGAGACAAAGGATCAGAATTATGTTCCAGGTAGGTGAAAGAATTTACCTAAATCTCTGCTTCCATAAGGAAGACAAGTCAAGATCCTTAAATTAAGATACATGTGTGTCTTGATGAAAAGTATAGCTTTAAAAGAAGTGGAAAATCAAGGTGAAAGACCCAAAGAACCGGCTATTGCATACTCAAAAGAGAAAGATGAAAGGTATAAGCGCAACGTAATGTTTAAAGGGAAAGATAAGAAAAGATAATTTTAAGTAATGCAAAGAATTCAAAGTGAGGACACCTTTACAATAATTCATATGAAATAACATATTTATAAATACACAAAATGTGAAAGCCAGAATTCATTAGCTAACTTTTACATAAGATGAAACCTAGACTCGGGTTGTAAAGTGACCTGTCTGTGCCCATATGTGGAGTTAGGGCCAGAGCTGGGACTGGGACTCTATTGGCCTAATGTCCTCTCTACACACCTTCCCACTTACTGAATGATCAGGATGACAGTGATTCAGAACCTCTGTGAACTGAAGTGGTCAGAGAACACCCAAAATAAGAAGAAACAAAGCAGTATTAAATTTGAGATATGAGATGATTTTAGCAAGTGTGTGTGTGAGGGGGCGGTTTAGGTGGGGTGGATTCTAGGCAATGATGGCAAAAGAGGCAGAGGAAAGGAAGTCGGCAGATCAGATGAGGTCTGCAGTAACAAGTGACCAGTGATGGAAAAAGCTGGTGGTGGTGGACAAAGATGAGGCACTGAGGAAAACACAGTGCTGTGGTGGGTTTCCCCCAGAAATGGGAACTTGAGGAGAAGATGGTTTTAGCACTGTGCATGATGAGCTTGGATCTGGACTTGCTGAATGTAAGTGATAAGTTGGTACTCTTGGCAATAATTTAGAATACAGGACTGGATTTTTGGGAAGGAAGTCAGTATTAGCACACAAGGATGACTCAAGTATTTTGGCCCAAGAAACAGGAAAAAAATGGAGTTATTATCAGATTGATAATATTAGATACTGTTATTAGATACTTCCAGGGAAGTGACACACAGATAGTAACACACATATATGTTCAGGGGTCAGCTCATATCATAAGGATTCAAGACCATTCACCAAAGGAGTGATGCAGAGAAGAGGATCGAGATGGAAACCAGGGCCGTAGCCATATTCCTGAATCACCCGTTCTCTAAAATTGTAAGAGATGAAAGTCTATAGGATCTTGACCCAGAATGGCAGGTGACACATAATAAAAGTATTTAGGTTAGAAAGGCTCAAACAAGTAGAATTTTTTTTATTTTAAAGATACAAGAGAATGAATTCCTAAGAAGTCTTATAGACCCTGACACATGATCGATGCTGATTAATCCTTAACTCCTATTTTTGCACATTTATAAATGAACTGTAATTATAAGGCAATTGTGTGAAATCCAAAAATTTAGAAAGGCTAAATAATGTAAAGTTTGGTTCTTGCATTATATTCATTTTAATATGTTCAGATTTTTAAAAAGATTTATTTGTGTGTGTGTGTGTGTGTGTGTGCACATGCGTGCACATATCTGTGTCTGTGTCTGAGTATGTGTACATGAAGGTGACAAGAGGTTGTCAGATCCCTGGAACTAGAATTACAGGCAGTTGACATGGGTGCTGTACATTGAACTTGGGTCCTTTAGAAGAGAAGCAAGTGCTCTTAACTACCCAGCCATCTCTCCAGTCCCATGTTCGGATTTTATAGGGAAATTGGTAAATTATGATATATTTGATATTTCCCTAAGAAATTGACTAGTTTACTAAGGCATTAAATTATCAAGTCCTCCGGTTGGTTAGAAGTTTACTTGTATGCAGTGAAATCTTTGAATATTAAAACACCTAGAAGTTTTTCCTGTGTGTGTATTAGCCTTTGATCACTTAGTATCAGTTTGTCCAAGATGTTACTTGGTTTTTGTTGACATATATGAAACACATATGAGAGCTTAGGTAACAAATGCTCATTCCAGGGGTGGTAGTGCATGCCTTTAATCCCAGCACTTGGGAGGCAGGGGAACTCTGTGAGTTCAAGGCCAGCCCGGTTTACATAGTGAGTTCCAGGCCAGTTGGGACTATAGGGAGATCCTGTCTCAAAAATGTTCTTGAGACCCCCACAAAATGTTGTTAACCACCAGGCAAGGGGCTACACACCTGTAATCCCAAAGCCCAACACTCAGGAGGCAGTAGGAGGATTACAAGTTTAAGGCCAACCTGGGCTACTTAGTGAACTCCTATAATTTAAAAAAAACACCTCTAAACTAAAAAGTTACTTATTTGCTTGACTGTTAATTTTAAAAGGCATTTGTTTCTTTTCTTGTTAAGAATAGTTTTATGTTTCTACAAAGAAGCAACCAAGAAAGAAATTAAAATGAAAAGCTCTTTAACAAGTAGTTAGGATAGCATCAACTTTGCCAGGTGGAAGAACTTGATACCACCATGTAAAAATGAAGGAAAAATAATATTTAGATACTATGTTTCAAATATGTATTTTTAAACTGAATTTTACAGTGGTCTTGGCTCCTAACTATATAGTCTAACCTGCTGAGCTTGTAGTGATCCCATTGTTCATCTGAACTATGAAACTGATAAGAGGAAATGACAGAAATACTTGGCTTGGCAATTCATTGAATGTGTGGAGAAAATGCCAAATATGGCTGGGTCAGGTTTCAAATCAGAACCCACACTGGAAGAGCAACTCAGGATCAGACGGGGCAGGTAATGATGGGAGTCAGAGACACACAAGGCTGAAGAGTGAATAGCAGTTCCTCCACGCGAGGATATCCCATGGTCAGGAGCAGCCTATGACCAGGGTCTGGAGTTTCAATGAAGCCAGAGTTGAAAATAAATATTGACAGTTGTCTGAACCAAGAAGATATTTGAAAACACAACAGTGGGTGAGATCTGCCAAGAAGGGAATTTAAATAAGGTGATTAGAACTTTGCAACCAGACAGACCGGAAGAGGAGAGGAGAGTGAAGAATCCTGGGAACAAGAAAAGAGCAGAGCCAGAGCCTTGTGGGGAGCGGGAGAGGCAACGGACTCAGGCACTGAAAACAGGCCAGAGAACACCTCCATAGACTCTACAAGTCTGGAATCTAGGGAAAAGTAGTTCGGGCTTAAGGATGGGGAATAAATTTCTCTTTCTTAAAGGAGTCACAAGTAGGAGGTGTTTTTCTGTTTGCTTGTTTGTTTGTTTGTTTGTTTTTTAGGATGAGCTTCTATGACCCTGAGTAGAGGAAAACAGCAGAGCGTTTGAAATAAGCAACAGTATGAAAGTGAAGCTGGAGGAGATGACAGAACAGGAGCACAGTGAACACGGGGTAGGAAGTCAGTCAGGGAAGCAGAAGGTAGAAGATGGGGAGAAAATGGCAGGAGAGCAAGGGGCCAAGACCAGGGTCCCACAGCAGATGTCCAGGCCTTTGTCACCCAAGAAGAACTGAACTTACAGTCCGACAACAAAGAACAGCCCTAAGAACATCCAAAATATGGACAAATACTAAGTGGACCTCCAGGTGTTCCTTAAAATTCTTGAACTCTGGGGGCTAGAGAGATGACTCAACAGTGACCAGCACTGGATCCAAGTGCTCTTTTTCTCTATTTTTTATGTTAACTGCTGTTAGTTAATTAACGCTTATTCATTATTATTCATAATTCATTCTTTAGGGGTAGTATATATGAAGAATCTTATTTTCATTTTTATTTTCCAAATTACTTTAGGTCTTGCAGAGGATCCAAGTTCAATTCCCAGCACCCACATGGCAGCTAACAACCCTCTGTAACCCCTGTTCCAGGGGCTCTGACCCCTTTTCTGACCTCCACAGGCATTGCATTACATAGATGCACCGACTTATGTGCAGGCAGTACACTAAAATAAAAAATTAATAAAATATTAAAAAAACCTTTTTGAACTCTGATTTAATTCAGAAAAAAGAAATAATTGCCTTATTGCAAACAAATTTCATTCCAAAATCATACATTTAACTACTTTCTGCCTCATTGTTTATGCTAAGAATTGTTTACCTGAAAATCATGAAGATCCACCTAAAGTAATTTGGAAAATAAAAATGAAAATAAGATTCTTCATATATACTACCCCTAAAGAATGAATTACGAATAATAGTGTATAAACATGAATTAACTAACAGCAGTTAACATTAAAGAGAGAGAGAGAGAGAGAGAGAGAGAGAGAGAGAGAGAGAGATGTTTCTTAGGCACAATTTTTCTCTCAGTTTTGTCAACTTCCTTATGACATATATCACTTTATCACTTTCTAATTTATAATAGTTACTTGGCTATTCTTTTCAGCAAAATTGACCATATTTAGATGTTGACAAACTTACATTCCTTGCCCACCTCTCTCTTTGCTTTTCACTCCTCCTTCTTAGACTTACGTGTAAACAAGGGAAACAAACAAAAGGACAGGATACAAATACATAATTCCTACTGTTTAGTGGATGTTTAGGTTAAATCTAAAAATAGGTATATGAATATCTTCCTAGAAATGAATTAAAGAGTCGGGGAAGAGGAGATGACAGAGATACCAATTACGGAATAAAGTTTTTTTTCTTTTCTTTCCTTCCTTCCTTCCTTTCTTCCTTTCTTTCCTTCCTTCCTTCCCTTCCCCTCCCTTCCTTCCTTCCCTCCCTCCCTCCCTCCCTCCCTTCTTTCTTTCTTTCTTCTCTCCCTCCCTCTCTCAAGCACCTGCAACAGGGCATTACTCTGTAGCCCAGGCTAGCCTACAACTGTCAGTCATCCCGCCTCAGTCTCCCCCCGTGCTGGGATTATAAGTACACACGGCTCTTGGCTAAAATTTTTCTAACCCTAGCATATTGTTAATATATAAATATGTAATTTTTCTCCAGCAGCTAGCATACAATAAGTACTTGGCAAAATTTGGCTAGATGGATGTAAATGTCATAGATATTTAATAAAAATAATAACATGAAAATTAAGGTTTAAAAAATAAGCTAGGAATAAGTTAAGAAAGCTAATTTATGAAAAATGATCAGTAGTCCTCAGATCTAGTTATATATGCAAATTACATGAAAATAAGAATCTATGAGGGCTGAAATGACATCCAAGTATCTTTCTTTAAAAGATGGACTCATTATGTAGCCCTGGCTGGCCTAGAACTCACTATGTAGACCAGGCTACCGTCAAACTCATAGAGGTCCATCTTCCCCCTGTCCAGTGCTGGGATCAAAGGCATGAGGCCACTATGCCTAGCAGGAATGATATTTGAAATTAAAAAAAAAATTTGATTGAGTTTTTGTGCATTTCATATAATAAATGTAAATCAAATTTAGATCCCCTTCCCTCATCCGTGCCCCCTCTTCCACCCCTAATGGATTTTTATGCAGTCTAGTCATCCTATCTAGAGTCACTCCCTTAAAGAAGATCTACTCTGAGAGATACTCGAACGTTTTTTTCAATTTTTAAATTTGATTTTATGTATATGAAGCATGCAATGCCCATGGAGGACAGAAGAGGGCATTGGATTCCCTAGAACTGAAGTTAAGGACAGAGGTTAGCAGCCGTGGGGTGGTGGGAACTGAAGCCGGGTTCTCTACAACAATACCCAAGACGCTGAATCACTGAGCCATCTCTCCTGCCCCAGTATTTGCTTTTTCAGACAGTGTCTCCCTGCAGCCTCAGCTGGCCTGTATCTCGCTCTGTAGACCCAGCTGGCCTGGAACTCACAGAGATCCAACTGCCTTTGCCTCCCGAGTGCTGGAATTCAAGGCGTGCGCCGCCACGCCCAGCCTAGTATTTGACATTCTTAAAAGTCTTGCCAGGGATTCTGCTACAGAGCTTAGAGTAGGACAACCTCTTAGTGAACAGACATTCACTGCTACGGAGGAACAGCGGTGAGATGGAAACGCCAAAGACATCGACATAGAGCAACTCGTGACAAAAGCATCAAAGCAGATAAGAAGTAAAAAGGTTACATGACCCTCCTAGACAGACGATCAAATGCGAAGCAGTCACTGAAAAACGACTTTTGAGCCTGATGATCTACCTCAAGGGTAGAGCAATTGCCTGGCATGTGCAAGACACTGTTTTCAACTCCCAGCATCAAAGATGAAGGAATGAATGGATGAATGAATGAGGAAAAAACTTGTGAAGAAAGCTGAGAAACAGAATTGTTATTCTTATGCTATTTTGCATTTCATAGAGATTAAGGACTTATCATTACAGAATATGGTACTTTCAAAAAGTGGAAAACAGAGCAAATGAACATGGGGCAACATGAACACAGGAATTCAGAATCCATGCAACTTTTAACTGTATTTGGAAAATATTCCAGTGGGGTCTATAGGGGATTACATTCTGTAATCAGCTTCCTGACTTAAAGTCAGTTTCTTTCAAGCCCAAGTTCAGCTGTCTGTGACTAAGTGTTGAGGCATTTGAACAATTTTCTCTTCAGAGTACTCTGGGAATTCTGTAGCTTACTGCTAATTGTTTGGAAGCAGCTGGCTCTCAGACATCTGAATTCAAGGAGTGCCCTAAAATCCCAGAGGATACCTTTTTGTCAAAAGCCACGTGAGCAGGAATAAACTCTGAAGTTGGAGCCTTCCTGGGTTGGCCGTAAGTGAGAACTGGTGCCTTATTGGCCAACTCGTCCAGCTCAGCCTGGGACAGCTGGTTGTACTGGAGTCGGTCCCCTCCGATCCCGACTGTTGGATGTCGGATAACCGCATAGCCATTCCTGTAGCCCAGCGTCTGGCTTCTGTGGAATGCTGTTTTCTGAAGAAAAAAAGTATGCTGTTAAGAATATTTGAGTAAAACAACTGACTTTTAAAAATATAACTTGGACATTAAAAAAATTTGTTTTTTTTTTTTTTAAGTAATTATGTGTATGTATGAGCACATGAGTGCTGGTGTCCGCAGAGGCCAGAGGCATTGGATGCCCTGGAGTTGGAGTTACAGGTTGTTATGAGCCACCAGACACAGGTGCTGGGAATCAAACCTAGGTTCTCTCAAGAGCAGTATGTATGATTAACCACAGAGCCATCACTCTAAACTTTGCTTTTGAGCACTACAACATTTTGCTTTTAGGCACTAACAAAACATAGATCAAAAAGTTTCCTTACAGTCAAAGGGTCTGATTTTAAACTGAAACAGTTCAACAGGAGCAAGGGAGGATACAGCAAGCACCTGGGCTTAAAACAGAATAGAAAGCCTTCCTGGGTCATGTCCAGTTTAACTACCACCTCACCTTGTATCAGAGGCTACAACACTGCTTCATCTGAACACTTAATTATTGGCTTGCCTTATTGTTCTTCTTTCTAGTGATCATGAACCATGACCCTAGAGGATCTAGTTTTGTGAACTATATTTGGACCTGCAATAAAAGCCAACGACACTGGTACATTCATGCAAGCTTTTGGGAAGAAGTGGATGGCATGGAAGTAAACACTTAGTAAGGAAGTAAACACTAAGTAATCTTACCCTTGATGTCTATCTTAAAGATACATTCCAAAATGATGGGAAAGAACAAGATGCTTGAAGCTGAACATAACACATATATTTATATTTAGATATATTATAGTTATGTATGGGAATCAATGTTAAAGACAAACATATGAAGAAGAAAGAAAATGATGGAAATCTCACTCAATGGACTATTATACAGTAATTAAAATGTTGGTTTTAAAGACTTTAGCAGCTTGTTAAAATTGT